TAGAAAGAAGGTATTTAGGCTAAGAATTATAAAAGTAATGTAGCTGAAATTGAGCTGTGGCTTTGTATGCARTGAGTAGCATAACACTGAACACAGACAATTAAATTAGGGATACTGGGAAACTGCTCATAAATTTAAGGTGTGCCTAGATGACAGCTCCTTATTCCTTTATCTGAGTTCTCATATTTAACAGGATGATTTTTATGAGATTTCTTGGCTGTTCATTGGTGATCACACTTCCCTGGGAGAGACCAAGTGAAGTAACATCGCTCAAATGGCTTTAATGTATGCAATTTTTACCTTTAGAGCTCCTGAGGGGAAAAAACAAGAACTTGCCTCAAAGAAGCTGTTTCTTGAGTGACCAGGAGCTGGTGCCTGTTTCCTCCAGAATAGTACAGCTGTTGCCTTTTTTGTTTTGCTAACACATAGGCTCCTGCTCTAGGACTGTGGTTTCATGCTAGAAATGTAAGCTGCAGCTTTTCACGGTCAGTATCTCGGGGTTTTAAATCCCAGCTGATCCTCGTGCTGTTACCCAGTTGTGGTGTCATGCACTCGGAGATGAAGCCTGGTACAGAGGTGTSTGCTCAGGAAGAACATCGTTAGCTTAGGGCGCATTTGCACTTTCAGGGTCTCTTTCAAAAGGAAGCAGCATAATGTAAGAAATGCATTTTGTAGAAGAAAAAAAAAAGCCCTTTTGAACCGCGGCAGCTGCTGTTGTTTGGCCTTTGAGGGATCACTCAGTTTTCAACATCCTATTCTATTATGCCACCATTCTGCTGCTTATTTATCTCYGGGGTGGGTTCAGCAATCCTTGTCTCGACACTCCCTCTAGCGAGGAAATGTTGCGCAACTGTGCCCGCTCGGTGGGTGACAAATCCTCGTGTGTTGCAGCAGATGCTSGATCACTTCAGAACCTTCTCCGTGCTTCTGAAAGCGCTGCCAAGGTCAGCACAGCACTGTGGGCTCAGGTGGGCTCAGGAACTCCGCTCACGGCTGCTGGAGCGGGCAGTGCCTTGCTGGAAATGG